AAGACCTATACAAATGCAAACTAATCTATCTATCTAGGTAAAATTGATTAATTAGAATTATGCTGTAACCGTGTGGGTCTACTCCCCACCATGAGCGCTCCAACCATATAGAGCTATGGTTCATTAAACGCATCTTTTGTTTTCCGTGCACCCAATAGATACTTAGTACTTTTCTGCATATAGTTAGTATAGTCATGCAAAATTCATGTCTTCTTTTCAACAGTAATTTTACTGTATCTTTTGAATTCAAAGGCGAATTGGGCTTGGTCAGTTGTGGCCTCGGTTTCAGTGGCTATGATGAAGAGGGAAATGAAGAATGGGAGAATGCTAGGAATCTCAATGCCTGGAATGTTGAGGTATGAATCTTGAGTCATAAAAATATCTGAAAAAAAATGCTTTTTGAATTATTCGATGCGCGCGCAGCGTTGCTGTGGATCAATAGACCACTTGCAGCACGTCGGAATGCAGCTCAATTTGGAGGACATAACAATAGGTATCCAATTCTCAGAAGGTTGAAATTCTTTTGTTTTGTCCTTCAAATAGCCCATTCCGAGATATGCTTCGCTTGTCACGCACAAAGTTTTCAGTTCGAGGCTACGTGCTAAATGCTCTAATTTCATTATAATTTTTTCACTTTTTTTTCAGTTTCCGACATCGCTCAAGATGGTTGTCGATAACTGGAATGTATCTACAGCAAAATGGCTACGAAGGTAAACCTAGATCAAAAATTTTTTATTGAAAAAGACGCCATTATAACGAAGAATACTTGCAAATATTTCTCTTGCAAATTTTTTGATAAGCCATGATAAAGCAATGAAACAAGAAGACCCTTGAGAAAAATACTCCAGTTTCGAGTTAGCTGTTGCTCAGGGTTAGCCTCCACTTTGTACAAAATATTCACGTGTTTCATTCAAGGTCCTTGGAATTTCAAATTGTTTGTATTGTTGAAGTTGTGCATTCTTAACTTCACCGTTGGTATTTATGAATATTTAGACACTGATACGAGGCTAACCCTGTGTAAATGAGTCTGTTATCAAGGAACACGGCGGTAATTTTTCCGAACTTGGAGATGGTCTATTTACAGATTACTGACGTCGCATCGCTGACGCAAGCAAGCCTTACATACATTATTTGAGAATGTGTTTATATCTTAGAACTGTCCACGCAAGAGTCCCTTACCAGAAAGCTGCACTAACGTTTGCTACATCAGTTATTTGGCATGGATTGTACCCTGGTTACTTCCTGGTAGCTACTGCTTCCTTACTCCTCAACCAAGTATCAAAAGCCGTAAGTATCAAGCAAAGAGGCACGAAGGACTACGTTAAAGGGTGACAAGAATGGGGCATTGTATGGAGATAGAAAAATTGAGCCGYACTGCTGCTTCTTTTACCCTATTTTATCAACCTTAGTCTGAAGTCACTCAAAATGAACAAGAACTGACTTAATCAACCTAAGTCTGGAGTCACTCAAAATCAACCAAGACTGACATATTTCTGGCTACCTTACCCCTTTGCCTTCTTTTTGTTACAACACGTTCCATCTCCCACCCAAACAGATGCAAGTAGTGCACTCCATACTCAGCCATGCATACCACGTCCTATCTCCCACCCAAACAGATGCAAGTAGTGCACTCCATACCCAGCCATCCATACCACGTCCCATCTCCCACCCAAACAGATGCAAGTAGTGCACTCCATACTCAGCCATGCATACCACGTCCTATCTTCCACCCTAACGGATGGAGACACCATGAAGGCTTTTGATACATGTCGTATTGAAGTCTATTCTCCTTCACAGCTGCTATTAGTGTCGTCACGCAACGCTCACTCCCCTAAGTAGCTAGTACTTAGTACTTATATAGGGGAGTGAGCGTGGCGTGACGACACTAATAGCACTGAGCTGCGTAGAAAACTAATTAAAGTCCTGTGTTTCTCCAATGAATACATCARAGGATAACTATGTCATTTCCCAGAATACCTTTCAGTCCCAGCTTCTATGTTCCATGTTTTGAACCCGCCAAAAATTTCGCAATTTAGCGTATACTTTCCTGTTAAAAACATTTAATTGGTAATAATTCAACATGAACTAAAATGACGTCTCCAATTTATATGAAGGTACAAAGATGACCCACTAGCCGACCARGTCATTTGATTCCGGTGATCCCTCGGGAATAAAGAGAAAATACTTGCCCGGATCTGTGTCACTAGGCTCGGTTCCAGGGCGTCATAGGATAGCGGGCGYTCCCACACCACCGCGGCTGCTAATMGAGCCTGCATGGTYACCTGACATTCCAGGCCCTAGCGGGAAGWGTCAGTGTGACTTCCATTTAACTAATAGACCTTATTCGTGGTGTGACAATGTTTTCCCAATTRAACGTGACAAACCTCTGGGGRMATGAAGARCTATTGTTTTKCAACTCGTCGGGATATCATCGTTATTCCTTTCGTATCCTTTGGGATACTCATGAATTTTTCGAAGAGTAAAAACAAAAGAAAATGAATCCTCTGGAGGTTCGTCACGCTGAATTGGGGAAACATTGTCACACCACGAATAAGATCTATTCTCTTTTCCCCTAAAGGTAAGACGTGCTTATGGTCACGTGTATAATGATCTGTCTTCTATTGGTCAACAAATCTTGCTGCTCCTCCAGATCGCAGTTAATATTCTTCTTCTGACTTACTGCACCATTCCATTCCCGCTGCTCACATTTGATCTTGGATATCAATTCTTCAAGTAAGAACAACAATTCTTTATATTCATTTAACTTTTGGAATTCATAAATCCTAGGAAATCAAATCATACTTGAATATGTTACTTGAAAACTCTTAATTGAAATTTAAAATTTCACAAGAAGTGATGACTTCAGTATATGTGGACCTTTTGTTTTAGGATTCTATCTTTGAGTTAGCCATTCCCTAAAGTGCACCACAATCTCTCAAGGTTCTAACACCTCATTTGACTGACTCTATATATAATATTTCCAATTTCAGATCAATGCATTTCTTTGGCCACATCGTGTGCTGCCTGGGTCTAGTATTCTTCTACATGCGTAGTCAGCCACGACCTAAACCAAAAGAGCCCACCCTTTCAACCAGCAATACTAATCACGTGATCAAACCGGAACTGCAGTTAACGCAAGAAAGGAATGGAGCGAGGCTACTAAACAACAACCCGCTACATCTGAGACAAAATCAATCCCACTTCAAGGGAAGCTTTTAAAAAAGAACTGGTCACTTACTTGAGCCATGAAGACTAGCCCYTTTTTACAGAGATACCGCTGGGTCTGATGACCACAGGCGCAAGTATTCCTYGTTCACAAGTTTTCAAGGGAGGAAGGTTGCCGACATTTTTAAGSCAATCAAAAGAACGATAATACAGAGAATTGGTCTTTAAATAAACCTCTTTTTACCTCAGCCATCTTGTTTTCCCATTTCAGTTCAAGTGTCATTGTCTATAGTATTATTTCTTCTTTTAACGGAAGACACATGAATATGGATACGACTCAAACAAATAATCTTATTSTCAAGGGAAAGACACGTGGCCCCAAATGCGGGAACATTGCGCCCAAGGTAAAAAGGTTATTGCACAACATTATTTTGTTAAAACTTAGAGTAATTGTGCCTGACATTAGGGCTTCAAAAGTTGTCTTGCAAATGGTTTAAACAGCTTGATAAAGTTTCATTAATATGAAACATTGCAGCCCGTCAAAATATTCAAATTTCCCATAATTCCTTGCTTTTTAGGGGAAACCCCAATKTATGATGGGAATGTAACAGTACTGAATACGATATTCATTATTCATTAAAAACCTTTTTRTATTTTTAAAAGTATGTTTAAGAATAAACATTTCGCAATCCATTTCTCCTTCATCCAAATAATTTACACGTTAAAAAGAAAAGRCAATTGTACTTAAACCATCCTCATTATACATTAAATTTCAAAACGTATCACTTTCGTCGCAAATCAACAAAATTGTAGATTATAGTTGATACTTTTTAAATTAAAACTATTAGAAAAACAACTTAACTCTGCAACACAATGGAGTATCGCTATTTGCTAAATAGTCTTATATTTTTCACACAACAATATTTTGTGGTATTGTCGTTTCAAAATTTAGCTTTCTGATTGCGCGACGAAAGTAAAAACTTGAGCGCGCGCGATTCAAATTTTTGACAATTGTTGTTTGCGCATTAACGCTTGCTCGTTAGGAGAAATACGCATTTAATCAAAGTAATTCGGTCAGTTTTTACTTTTTTTTTTGTGTCATAAATTCTTTAGAATTSCGATACACAATTACGATTTTGAAACAACAATACCACGAACAYACAAAGTACATCATTTATTTACACATTTCCCAAATTTATGCATTATTTATGAAGSATGCAAAATAGGTTATTTTTGGGCAAAAAGCATAGGCTATAGTCCATTGTATTGATGGATTTTGGACCATTTTCACACCTCATCCAAATATATGCATTATT